ACATTCAGGCCGGTAAATGTTATTTAATACTGTTTATCATAAATAGAGCATTTGCTTAAATACTTGTATCTATAAATAACAACGTTAAACATAAAAAATGTCTTTAATAAATAAAAATTGTCGGACCTTGTCCATTTCTTAATATATGACGTCATATGAAACAATGTTTGAACAATCATCTCATCAACTCAGTGATGTCATGAGGCCATTTTTTTCCTTCTGTCTGCTCTTCTTATTTTGTCTGTGATGGTGCCTTGTAGGTTGGTAATGGAATGATCCTGGCTCATCCCATTTCAACAATTTCTTGTCTACTGATGTCTTATATTTGTGATTTAGTCTCTCATAGGAGTGCCTCAGATGGATCTGTAGCATCTCCATTTCAAATGTTTTCATCCCTCGCTGCAGTTCCATTGTTAATGTCCAAGATCTGCAGATGTACAGAAAGTCTGAGGAGGTCAATGCATGCAACAGTTTTGTTTTTGATTTCTACCTCATGGTTGTATCTTTCCCAATGTTCTTTTAGTTTTGCAACAAATGCCATTCTTTGTACTTCTCTTGAAATCATATTTACTCTGAGGCCCTCTTCACTGATATTTGAGCCAAGATTTTTAATTTGTGTCAGATCTTGACCACTGGCTTTTATTTTCGTTAGTTTCTCATATTCCTTCATCATTCATCATGAGCGTGGTTTTTTTGGCATTAATCCCCCATGAGATTTATGGAGGATGCTTCATCCAGATTCTAAAAGTGATTCATTTGAAATAATTTCAGTGAAGTTCACTTTTCATGCATTCAGCAGTCAGTCAGTTATGTGTCATGCATAATACATGCTTAGGCAATCTTGTATATTTTGATAAATGACTGACGAGGCAGATTTTTTTCCTGCAGTAGGTTGCCATTTCTTACTGCGGTAGACCAGTTGCCATCCAAGGCTATAGAACCCAATCTGTCCTGCCTTTTACCCATAGCTGGGGGGAGAAGAAGAAGAGGATTTGTACCTTTCCCAAGATTATTAACAGGTAAGTGAATGTAATGGATTCAAATGGAATTTGAAATCTGCTCTCCGATACCTCAATCCAAGCCGCAATCCATTACTCCACTATGCCTCAGCTATCCATTACTCATCCATGACTCAGCTATACATTACTCCACTATGCCTCAGCTATCCATTACTCCACCATGCCTCAGCTATCCATTACTTCACTATGCCTCAGCTATCCATTACTCCACCATGCTTCAGCTATCCATTACTCCACCATGCCTCAGCTATCCATTACTCCACCATGCCTCAGCTATCCATTACTCCACCATGCCTCAGCTATCTATTACTCCACCATGCCTCAGCTATCCATTACTCCACCATGCCTCAGCTATCCATTACTCCACCATGCCTCAGCTCGTTACCACCCTCAGCTATCCATTACTCCACCATGCCCCAGCTATCTACCCACCATGCCTCAGCTATCTATTACTCCACCATATCCATTACTCCACCATGCCTCAGCTATCTATTACTCCACCATGCCTCAGCTATCCATTACTCCACCATGCCTCCAGCTATCCATTACTCCACCATGCCTCAGCTATCCATTACTCCCACCATGCCTCAGCTATCCATTACTCCACCATGCCTCAGCTATCCATTACTCCACCATGCCTCAGCTATCCATTACTCCACCATGCCTCAGCTATCTATTACTCCACCATGCCTCAGCTATCCATTACTCCACCATGCCTCAGCTATCTATTACTCCACCATGCCTCAGCTATCTATTACTCCACCATACCTCAGCTATCCATTACTCCACCATCCCTCCATGCCTCAGCTATCTATTACTCCACCATGCCTCAGCTATCTATTACTCCCACCATGCCTCAGCTATCTTATCCACCACCTCCTATCCATTACTCCACCATACCTCAGCCATCCATTACTCCACCATACCTCAGCTATCCATTACCCACCATGCCTCACCATTACTCCACCATGCCTCAGCTATCCATTACTCCACCATACCTCAGCTATCCATTACACCACCATGCCTCAGCTATCTATTACTCCACCATACCTCAGCTATCCATTACTCCACCATGCCTCAGCTATCCATTACTCCACCATGCCTCAGCTATCCATTACTCCACCATACCTCAGCTATCCATTACTCCACCATGCCTCAGCTATCCATTACTCCACCATGCCTCAGCTATCCATTACTCCACCATGCCTCAGCTATCCATTACTCCACCATGCCTCAGCTATCCATTACTCCACCATGCCTCAGCTATCTATTACTCCACCATGCCTCAGCTATCCATTACTCCACCATGCCTCAGCTATCCATTACTCCACCATGCCTCAGCTATCCATTACTCCACCATGCTATCCATTACTCCACCATGCTTCAGCTATCATTACTCCACCATGCCTCAGCTATCCATTACTCCACCATGCCTCAGCTATCCATTACTTCACCATGCCTCAGCTATCCATTACTCCACCATGCCCTCAGCTATCCATTACTCCACCATGCCTCAGCTATCCATTACTCCACCATGCCTCAGCTATCCATTACTCCACCATGCCTCAGCCATCCATTACTCCACCATGCCCCAGCCATCCACTCCACCATGCCTCAGCCATCCATTACTCCACCATGCCTCAGCCATCCATTACTCCACCATGCCCCAGCCATCCATTACTCCACCATGCCTCAGCTATCCATTACTCCACCATGCCTCAGCTATCCATTACTTCCACCATGCCTCAGCTATCCATTACTCCACCATGCCTCAGCTATCCATTACTCACTATGCCATGCTATCTCACTATGCCTCAGCCATCCATTACTCCACCATGCCTCAGCTATCCATTACTCCACCATGCCTCAGCTATCCATTACTCCACCATGCCTCAGCTATCCATTACTCCACCATGCCTCAGCTATCCATTAGCTATCCACCATGCCTCAGCTATCCATCCATTACCTCCACCATGCCTCAGCTATCCATTACTCCACCATACCTCAGCTCATTATCACCATCCTCATTATCTATTACTCCACCATGCCTCAGCTATCCATTACTCCACCATGCCCTCAGCTATCCATTACTCCACCATGCCTCAGCTATCCCATTACTCCACCATGCCTCAGCTCCATCCATTACTCCACCACCATGCCTCAGCTATCCATTACTCCACCATGCCTCAGCTATCCATTACTCCACCATGCCCTCAGCCATCCATTAGCTCCACCATGCCTCAACTATCCAGCTCCACCATTTTCCATTACTCCACCATCCACCATGCCTCATGCCCTATCCATTACTCCACCATGCCTCAGCCATCCATTACTCCACCATGCCTCAGCTATCCATTACTCCACCATGCCTCAGCTATCCATCCACTATGCCTCAGCATTGCTCCACCATGCCTCCAGCCTCATCCATTACTCCACCATGCCTCAGCTATCCATTATTACTCCACCATCTGTTACTCCTCAGCTCATCCATTACTCCACCATGCCTCAGCTATCCATTACTCCACCCTCGGCCTATCCATTACTTCACTATGCCTCAGCTATCCATTACTCCACCATGCCCATCAGCCTCATCTATTACTCCACCATGCCTCAGCTATCCATTACTCCACCATGCCTCAGCTATCCACCATGCCTCCTACCATGCCCTCAGCCATATCCATTCCATTACCCACCATGCCTCAGCTATCCATTACTCCACCATGCCTCAGCTATCCATTACTCCACCATGCCTCAGCTATCCGTACTCCAGCATATCCATCCCACCATGCCTCAGCTATCCATTACTCCACCATGCCTCCAGCTATCCATTACTCCACCATGCCTCCAGCTATCTATTACTCCCACCATGCCTCAGCTATCCATTACTCCCACCATGCCCCAGCCATCCATTACTCCACCATGCCTCAGCTATCCATTACTCCACCATGCCTCAGCTATCCATTTACTCCACCATGCCTCAGCCATCCATTACTCCACCATGCCTCAGCCATCCATTCTCCACCATGCCTCAGCTATCCATTACTCCACCATGCCTCAGCTATCCATTACTCCACCATGCCTCAGCTATCCATTACTCCACCATGCCTCAGCTATCCATTACTCCACCATGCCTCAGCTATCCATTACTCCACCATGCCTCAGCTATCTATTACTCCACCATGCCTCAGCTATCCATTACTCCACCATGCCTCAGCTATCCATTACTCCACCATGCCTCAGCTATCCATTACTCCACCATGCCTCAGCTATCTATTACTCCACCATGCCTCAGCCATCCACACTCCACCATGCCTCAGCCATCCATTACTCCACCATGCCCCAGCCATCCATTAATCCACCATGCCCCAGGCATCCGTTACTCCACCATACCTCAGCCATCCATTAATCCACCATGCCTCAGCTATCCATTACTCCACCATACCTCAGCTATCCATTACTCCACCATGCCTCAGGTATTCATTACTCCACCATGCCTCAGCTATCCATTACTCCACCATGACTCAGCTATCCATTACTCCACCATGCCTCAGCTATCCATTAATCCACCATGCCCAGCGCTATCTGTTAATCCACCATACCTCAGCTATCCATTACTCCACCATGCCTCAGCCATCCATTACTCCACCATGCCTCAGCTATCCATTTCCCACCATGCCTCAGCTATCCATTACTCCACCATGCCTCAGCTATCTGTTACTCCACCACATCCACCATCCATTACCCCACCATGCCCATATTCAATCCACCATGCCTCAGCTATCCACACTCCACCATGCCTCAGCCATCCATTGCTCCCACCATGCCTCAGCTGTCCATTACTCCACCATGCCTCCAGCTTATCCATTACTCCACCCATGCCTCAACTATCCATTACTCCACCCATGCCTCAGCCATCCATTACTCCACCATGACTAGCCATCCATTACTCCACCATGCCCCTCAGCCATCCATTACTCCACCATGCCTCAGCTATCCATTACTCCACCATGCCCCTCAGCCATCCATTACTCCACCATGCCTCAGCTATCCATTACCCACCATGCCTCAGCTATCCATTACTCCCACCATGCCTCCAGCTATCCATTCTCCACCATGCCTCAGCTATCTATTACCCACAACATCCATTACTCAGCTATCCATTACTCCACTATGCCTCAGCTATCCATAACTCCAAAATGCCTCAGCTATCCATTAATCCACTATGCCTCAGGTATCCACTACTCCACCATGATTCAGCTATCCATTACTCCACTATGCCTCAGCTATCCATTACTCTACCATGCCTCAGCTCTTACTTACACCACCATACCTCAGCTACCCATTAATCCACCATGCCTCAGCCATCCATTACTCCACCATGCCTCCAATATCCATTACTCCACCATACCTCAGCTTTCCATTACTCCACCATGCCTCCAGCCATCCATTACCCACCATGCCCCAGCCATCTCCATTACCCACCATGCCTCAGCCATCCATTACTCCACCATGCCTCAGGTATCCATTACTCCACCATGCCTCAGCTTATCCATTAGTCCCACCATGCCTCAGCTATCCATTATTCCACCATGCCCCAGCTATCCATTACTCCACCATGACTCAGCCATCCACACTCCACCATGCCCTCAGCCATCATTAATCCACCATACCTCAGCCATCCATTACCCTAGCCTCAGCCATCCATTACATCCACCATGCCCCAGCTATCCATTACTCCACCATGCCTCAGCTTATCCATTAACTCCACCATGCCCCAGCTATCCATTACTCCACCATGCCTCAGCCATCCATTACTCCACCATGCCTCAGGTATCCATTACTCCACCATGATCAGCCATCCATTACTCCACCATGCCTCAGCCATCCATTACTCCCACCATACCTCAGCTATCCATTAATCACCATGCCTCAGCTATCCATTACTCCACCATGCCTCAGCTATCCATTGCTACTCCACCATGCCCAGCCATCCATTACTCCACCATGCCTCAGCTATCCATTACTCCACCATGCCTCAGCTCTCCATTACACCACCATGCCTCAGCTATCCCATTACTCCACCACACCTCAGCTATCTACCATTCCATACCTCAACTATCCACTCCCTGCCTCAACTATCCATTGCTCCACCATATCTCAGCTATCCATTATCCAGCATGCCTAAGCCATCTGTATTACCCACCATTGCCTCAAGTATCCATTACTCCACCATGCCTCACCTATCCATTAATCCACCATGCCTCAACTATCCATTTACTCCACCATGCCTCAGCTATCCATTACTCCACCATGCCTCCAGGTATCCATTACTCCACCATGCCTCAGCTATCCATTACTCCACCATGAATCCAGCTATCCATTACCCACCATGCCTCAGCTATCCATTACTCAACACCTATTATTCCACAGCTATCCATTACTCCACCATGCCTCAGCTATCCATTACTCCACCATGCCTCAGCTATCCATTACCCACCATCAATTACTCCACCATGCCTCAGCTATCTGTTACTCCACCATGCCTCAGCTATCCATTACCCACCATACCTCAGCTATCCATTACTCCACCATGCCCTCAGCTATCCATTACCCACCATGCCTCAGCCATCCATTACTCCACCATTCCTCAGCTATCCATTAATCCACCATGCCATTACAGCCATCCATTATTCCACCATGCCTCCAGCTATCCATTACTCCACCATTCCTCCTGATATCCATTAATCCACCATGCCTCAGGTATCCATTACTGCATGCCATTATCCATTACTCCACCATTCCTCAGCTATCCATTACTCCACTATGCCTCAGCTATCCATTACTCCACTATGCCTCAGCTATCCATTACTCCACCATGCCTCAGCTATCCATTAATCCACCATGCCTCAGCTCATCCACCATGCTCCACCATGCCTCAATCCACTCCTCCATGCCCCCTCAGCTCCATTACTCCACCATGCCTCAGCTGCCATTATTCCACCATGCCCGTCAGCTATCCATTACTCCACCATGCCCTCAGCTATCCATTACTCCACCATGCCTCAGCTATCCATTACCCACCATGCCTCCCAGCCATCCATTACTCCACCATGCCTCAGCTATCCATTACTCCACCATGCCCCAGCTATCCATTACTCCACCATGCCTCAGCTATCCATTACTCCACCATGCCCCAGCTATCCATTACTCCACCATGCCTCAGCTATCCATTACCCACCATACCCAGCTATCCATTACTCCACCATGCCTCAGCTATCCATTATTCCACCATGCCTCAGCTATCCATTAATCCCACCATGCCTCAGCTATCCATTACTCCACCATGGCTCAGCTATCCATTAATCCACCATGCCCTCAGCTATCCATTACTCCACCATGACTCAGCTATCCATTACTCCACCATGCCCTCAGCTATCCATTACCCACCATGCCTCAACTATCCATTACCTCCACTATGCCTACAGCTATCCATTACTCCACCATGCCTCAGCTATTCATTACTCCACCATGCCTCAGGTATCCATTACTCCACCATGCCTCAGCTATCCATTAATCACCATGACTCAATTAATCCACCATGCCCAGCCATCCATTAATCCACCATGACTCAGCTATCCATTACTCCACCATGCCTCAGCTATCCATTACTCCACCATGACTCAGCTATCCACATTACTCCACCATGCCTCAGCCATCCATTACTCCACCATGCCTCAGGCATCCATTAATCCACCATGCCCTCCATTATCCACTATGCTCCACCATGCCCCAGGTATCCATTACTCCACCATGCCTCAGCCATCCATTACCCAAATGCCCAGCCATCCACACCCACCATGCCTCAGCTATCCATTACTATACCATGCCTCAGCTATCCATTATTCCACAATGCCTCAGCTATCCATTAATCCACCATGCCTCAGCTCTTACTTACACCACCATACCTCAGCTACCCATTAATCCACCATGCCTCAGCTATCCATTATTCCACCATGACTCAGCTATCCATTACTCCACCATATCTCAGATATCCATTAATCCAGCATGCCTAAGGTATCCATTACTGCACCATGCCACAGCTATCCATTACTCCACCATGACTCACCTATCCATTACTCCACCATACCTCAGCTATCCATTAATCCACTAAGCTTCAGGTATCCATTACTCCACCATACCTCAGCTATCCATTAATCCACCATGCCTCAGTTATCCATTACTCCACCATGCCTCAGCTATCCATTACTCCACCATGCCTCAACTATCCATTACTCCACCATACCTCAGCTATCCATTACTCCACCATGCCTCAGCTATCCATTACTCCACCATGCCTCAGCTATCCATTACTCCACCATGCCTCAGCTATCCATTAATCCACCATGCCTCAGCTATCCATTACTCCACCATGCCTCAGGTATTCATTACTCCACCATGCCTCAGGTATCCATTACTCCACCATGCCTCAGCTATCCATTACTCCACCATGGCTCAGCTATCCATTACTCCACCATGCCTCAGCTATCCATTACTCCACCATGCCTCAGCTATCCATTACTCCACCATGACTCAGCTATCCATTAATCCACCATGCCTCAGCTATCCACACCCCACCATGCCTCAGCTATCCATTACTCCACCATGCCTCAGGGTATCCACTATCCATTACTCCACCATGGATCACACCATGCCTCCACCATGCCCCATCCATTTACTCCCACCATGACTCAGCTATCCATTAATCCCACCATGCCTCCAGCTATCCATTATTCCACCATGCATATGCCATTGTCAGCCATATCTCATCCATTACCCACCAGGCCTCAGCACATCCATTAATCCACCATGCCTCAGCTATCCATTACTCCACCATGACTCAGCCATCCATTAATCCACCATGCCTCAGCCATCCATTAATCCACCATTTCTCCACCTCAGCTATCCATTACTCCACCATGCCTCAGCTATCCATTACTCCACCATGGATCAGCTATCCATTAATCCACCATGCCTCAGCTATCCATTACTCCACCATACTCCCTAGGCTCAGGTCCATTACTCCACCATGCCTCAGCCATCCATTACTCCACCATGCCTCAGCTATCCATTACTCCACCATGCCCCAGCCATCCATTACTCCACCATACCTCAGCTATCCATTACCCACCATGCCTCAGCTATCCATTACTCCACCATGCCTCAGGTATCCATTAATCCACCATGCCTCAGCCATCCATTAATCCACCATGCCTCAGCTATCCATTACCCACCACACCTCAGCTATCCATTACTCCACCATGCCTCAGGTATCCATTACACTCCACCATGCCTCAGCTATCCATTACTCCACCATGACTCAGCTATCCATTACTCCACCATGCCTCAGCTATCCATTAATCCACTATGCCTCAGCTATCCACTAATCCACCATGACTCCAGCCATCCATTAATCCACCATGCCTCAGCTATCCATTACTCCACCATGCCTCAGCTATCCATTAATCCACCATGCCTCAGCTATCCATTACTCCACCATGCCTCAGCTATCCATTAATCCACTATGCCTCAGGTATCCACTACTCCACCATGACTCAGCTATCCATTCAGCCTTCCACACCCACCATGCCCCTCAGCTATCCATTAATCCACCATGCCCTCAGGTATCCATTACTCCACCATGCCCTCAGCTATCCATTACTCCACCATACCTCAGCCATCCATTAATCCACCATGCCTCAGCTATCCATTACTCCAACCATGACTCAGCCATCCATTACTCCACCATATCCCCCAGCTATCCATTACACCACCATACCATTACTCAGCTATCCAGCCACTCCACCATGCCTCAGCCATCCATTACTCCACCATACCTCAGCTATCCATTACTCCACCATATCTCAGCTATCCATTATCCAGCATGCCTCAGCCATCCATTACTCCACCATGCCTCAGCCATCCATTAATCCACCATACCTCAGCCATCCATTAATCCACCATGCCTCAACATCCATTACTCCACCATACCCTCAGCTATCCACCATGCCCACTCCACCAGGCCCTCAGGCTGCCATCCATTCCTCCACCACCATGCCTCAGCTATCCATTACTCCACCATGACTCAGCCATCCATTAGTCCACCATGCCTCAGGCTATCCATTAATCCACCATGCCCCAGCCATCCATTACTCCACCATGCCTCAGCTATCCATTACTCCACCATGCCTCAGCTATCCATTACTCCACCATACCTCAGCTATCCATTAATCCACTAACTGATTATCCATTACTCCACCATACCTCAGCTATCCATTATTCCACCATGCCTCTTCAGCTATCCATTAATCCACCATGCCTCAGCCATCCATTACACCACCACCATGCCTCAGCTATCCACCATGCCTCAGCCATCCATTCCACATGTATCCATTACTCCACCATGGATCCCTGATATCCATTACTCCACCATGCCTCAGGTATCCATTACTCCACCATACCCTCAGCTATCCATTAATCCACTATGCCTCAGCTATCCATTAATCCACTCAGCTGTCATTACTCCACCATCCATTAATCCATTAATCTTCCTCAGCCATTACTCCACCATGCCTCAGCTATCCATTTTTCCACCATGCCCCGCTTATCCATTACTCCCACCATGCCTCAGCCATCCATTATTCCACCATGATCAGCTATCCACATTCCATGCCCCAGCTATCCACCACTCCACCATGCCCCAGCTGTCATTAATCATTCACACTCCACCATGATTCAGCTATCCACTTACTCCACCATTGCTCTACCAGCCTCATCCATTAATCCCACCATACCCTCAGCCATCCATTACTCCACCATGACTCAGCTATCCATTAATCCACCATGGCTCAGCTATCCATTAATCCACCATGCCTCAGCTATCCATTAATCCACCATGCCTCAGCTATCCATTACTCCACCATGACTCAGCTATCCATTACTCCACCATACCTCAGCTATCCATTAATCCACTATGCCTCAGCTATCCATTACTCCACCATGCCTCAGCTATCCATTAATCCACCATGCCTCAGCTATCCATTACTCCACCATGCCTCAGGTATCCATTACTCCCACCATGACCATCCATTACCCACCATACCTCAGCTATCCATTACTCCACCATGCCTCAGGTATCCATTATTCCACCATGCCTTGCTATCCATTAATCCACTATGCCTCAGCTATCCATTACTCCACCATGCCTCAGGTATTCATTAATCCACCATGCCCCAGGTATCCATATCCACCATGCCCTTCAGCTATCCATTACTCCACCATGGCTCAGCTATCCATTATCCACTGTGACTCAGCCATCCATCCACCACTATGGGTCCTCAGCTATCCATTACTCCACCATGCCTCAGCTATCCATTACTCCACCATGCCTCAGGTATCCATTAATCCACCATGCCTCAGGTATTCATTACTCCACCATGCCTCAAGTATCATTAACTCCAACCCATGCCTCATGGATCCATCCATTAAGCCACCATTACTCCACCATCCATAACTCCACTCAAATGCCTCAGCCATCCATTACTCCACTATGCCCTCAGCTATCCACTACTCCACCATACCTCAGCTATCCATTACTCCACCATGCCTCAGCTATCCATTACTCCACCATGCCTCAGCTTATCCATTACTCCACCATACCTCAGCTTATCCATTACTCCACCATGCCCCAGCCATCCATTATTCCACCATGACCTCAGCTTATCCATTACTCCACCATATCTCAGATATCCATTACTCCAGCATGCCTCAGCTGTCCATTACTCCACCATGCCTCAGCTATCCATTACTCCACCATGCCTCAACTATCCATTACTCCACCATGCCTCAGGTATCCATTGCTCCACCCATGCCTCAGGCATCCATTACCATCCACCATGCCTCAGCCATCCATTACATACCATGCCTCAGCTATCCCATTACTCCCACCATGCCTCAGCTATCCATTAATCCACCATGCCTCAGCTATCCATTACACCACCATGCCCAGCCTTCCATTAATCCACCATGCCTCAGCTATCCATTAATCCACCATGACCAGCAGCCATCCATTACTCCACCATGCCTCAGATATCCATTACCCACCATGCCTCAGGTATCCACACTGCACCATGTCACAGCCATCCACATTCCCACCCATGACTCACACCTATCCATTACTCCACCATGCTCAGCTATCCATTAATCCACTATGCCCCATCCATTACTCCACCATGCCCCAGCCATCCACACTCCACCATGACCTCAGCTATCCACAATCCACCAGCCCCCAGCCATCCATTACTCCACCATGCCCTCAGGTATTCATTACTCCACCATGCCCCAGGAATCCATTACTCCACCATGTCTCAGCCATCCACACCACCATGGCCCCCATCAGGCATCCACATAACACCAAAATGAGTCAGCCATCCATTACTCCACCATACCTCAGCTATCCATTACTCCACTATGCCTCAGCTATCCATTACTCCACCATACCTCAGCTATCCATTAATCCACCATGCCTCAGCTATCCATTACTCCACCATACCTCAGCTATCCATTACTCCACCATACCTCAGCTATCCATTACTCCACCATGACTCAGCTATCCATTACTCCACCATACCTCCATTACTCCACCATCCATTAATCCAGCACCATGCCTCAGCTATCCATAACTCCACCATGCCTCACCATGCTATCCATTACTCCACCATGACTCAGCTATCCATTACTCCACCATGCCCTCAGCCATCTATTACTCCACCATGCCTCAGGCCATCCATTACTCCACCATGCCTCAGCTATCCATTAATCCACTATGCCTCAGCTATCCATTAATCCACTATGCCTCAGCTAGCCATTACTCCACCATGCCTCAAGTATTCATTACTCCACCATGACTCAGCTATCCACTACTCCACCATGACTCAGCTATCCATTACTCCACCATGCCTCAGCTATCCATTAATCCCACCATGCCCCAGCTATCCATTAATCCACTATGCCCCTCAGCTGTCCATCCATTATGCCTCCACCATGCCTGAAGGCCATCCATTACTCCACCATGCCTCAGCCATCCATTACTCCACTATGGCTCAGCTATCCATTACTCCACCATGCCTCAGCTATCCATTAATCCACCATGCCTCAGCCTTCCATTACTCCACCATGCCCAGGTATCCCATTAATCCACCATGCCTCGCTTTCCATTAATCCACCATGACTCAGCCATCCATTACCCACACCAGATATCCATTAGCCATCCATTAATCCACCATGCCTCAGCCATCCATTACTCCACCATGCCTCACCCATCCATTACTCCACCATGCCCAGCCTCCATTAATCCACCATGACCAGCTATCCACACTCCACCATACCTCAGCTATCCATTACTCCACCATGCCTCAGCTATCCATTACTCCACCATGCCTCAGCTATCCATTACTCCACCATACCTCCACCTATCCATTACTCCACCATGCCTCAGCTATCCATTACTCCACCATGCCTCAGGTATCTATTACTCCACCATGACTTTAGCCATCCATTACTCCACCATGTCTCAGCTATCCATTACTCCACCATGACCTCAGCCATCCATTACTCCACCATGCCTCAGCTATCCATTACTCCACCATGACTCAGCTATCCATTACTCCACCATACCCCAGCCATCCATTACCCACCATGCCCTCAGCTATCCACACTCCACCATGACTCAGCCATTCATTACTCCACCATGCCCTCAGCTATCCATTACTCCACCATGCCTCAGCTATCCATTACCCACCATGACTCCAGCCATCCACACCCACCATGACCAGCCATGCCTCAGCCATCCACACATCCACCATACCAGCCATCCATTACCCACCATACCTCAGCTATCCATTATTCCACCATGCCCAGCTATCCATAATTCCACCATGCCCCAGCCATCCATTACTCCACCATGCCTCAGCTATCCATTAATCCACCATGCCTCAGCCATCCATTACTCCACCATGACTCAGCTATCCATTACTCCACCATGCCTCCAGCTATCCATCCATTAATCCACCATGCCTCAGCCATCCACTACTCCACCATGCCCAGCTATCCATTACTCCATACCTGCCCACACTCCACACCTATCCATTACTCCACCATACCTCAGCTATCCATTACTCCACCATGACTCAGCTATCCATTATCCACCATGCCTCAGCCATCCATTATTCCACCATGACTCAGCTATCCATTACTCCACCATGCCCTCAGCTATCCATTAATCCACCATTACCCATACCTCAGCTATCCATTAATCCACCATACCTCAGCTATCCATTACTCCACCATGCCTCAGCTATCCATTACCTCCACCATGCCTCAGCTATTTTCCTTTACTCCACCATAACCCAGGTATCCATTACTCCACCATGCCTCAGCTATCCATTACCCACCATGACCTCAGCTATCCACATACTCCACCATACCTCAGCTATCCATTACTCCACCATGGCTCAGCTATCCACCATTATGCCTCAGGCATCCACATTACTCCACCATGCCTCAGCCATCCATTACTCCACCATGCCTCAGCCATCCATTAATCCACCATGCCCCCAGCTATCCATTACTCCACCATGATTCAGCCATCCATTACTCCACCATGCCCTCAGCCATCCATTACTCCACCATACCAGCTATCCACCATTCCACAAATGCCACCATGGCATCCTCCATGCCTAGGCATTACTTTACCCACCATGCCGCAGCTATCCATTACCCACCATGCCTCAGCTATCCATTATCCACCATGGCTCAGCTATCCATTACTCCACCATATATCCATTAATCAGCATATCCATTAATCCACCATGCCTCAGCTATCCATTACTCCACCATGACTCACCTATCCATTACTCCACCATGACTCAGCTATCCATTACTCCACCATGGCTCAGCTATCCATTACTCTACCATGCCTCAGGTATTCATTACTCCACCATGCCTCAGCTATCCATTACTCCACTATGACTCAGCTATCCATTACTCCACCATACCTCACATCTATCCATTACTCCACCATGCCCAAATTTTAGGTATCCATTATCCATCCACCATGACTCAGCTATCCATTACTCCACCATACCTCAGTAGCCATTAATCCACCAGGCCCAGGTATTCATTTACTCACCATGCCTCAGCTATCCATTAATCCACCATGCCCTCAGCTTTCCATTACCACCTCCATGCCCCAGGTATCCATTGCTCCACCATGCCCCAACTATCCATTACTCCCACCATGCCCTCAGCCATCCATTACATCCACCATGGCTCAGATATCCATTACTCCACCATGCCTCAGCTATCCATTACCCTCCATGCCTCAGGCATCCATTACTCCACCATGCCTCAGGGTATCCATTAATCCACCATGACTCAGCTTTCCATTACTCCACCATCTCAGCTATCCATTAATCCACCATGCCTAAGGTATCCATTACTCCACCATGCCCCAGCTATCCATTACTCCACCATGACTCAGCTTTATCCGTATCCACACTCCACCATATCTCAGATATCCCACCATGCCTCCCACTTATCCACTATGCCTCAGCCATCCATTACTCCACCATGACTCAGCTATCCATTACTCCACCATGCCCTCAGCCATCCATTACTTCCACCATGCCCCCAGCCATCCATTACTCCACCATACCCTCAGCTATCCATTAATCCACCATGCCCCAGCTGTCCATTACCCACCATGCTAGCTATCCACACTCCACCATGCCTCAGCTATCCATTACCCACCATGCCTCAGCTATCCATTAATCCACCATGATTCAGCTATCCACACCCACCATGGCTCAGCCATCCATTATCCACCATGCCCTCAGCTATCCATTATTCCACAATGCCCTCAGCTATCCATTACTCCACCATACCTCAGCCATCCATTACACCATGCCTCAGCCATCCACTTACACCACCATGCCCCAGCTATCCATTACTCCACCATGACTCAGCTATCCATCCATTATCCACCATGACCATCAGCCATCCATTAATCCACCATGCCTCAGCCATCCATTACTCCACCATGACTCAGCTATCCATTACTCCACCATGACTCAGCTATCCCATTACCACCATACCCTCAGCCATTCACACTCCACCATGACTCAGGCTATCCATTTACTCCACCATGCCCTCAGCCATCCATTACTCCACCATGCCTCAGCCATCATCCACCATGCCCACCCATCCATCCACCATACCTCAGCCATCCATTACCTCCACCATGCCCCAGCGCTATCCATTATTCCACCATGACCTCAGCCATCCATTACTCCACCATGACTCAACCATCCATTACTCCACCATGCCTCAGCTATCCATTACTCCACCATGCCCAGCCATCCATTACTCCACCATGCCCTCAGGTATCCATTACTCCACCATGCCTCAGCTATCCATTACTCCACCATGCCCTCAGCTATCCATTACTCCACCATGCCCCTCAGGCATCCATTACCCACCATGCCCTCAGGTATCCATTACTCCACCATGCCTCAGCTATCCATTACTCCACCATGCCCTCAGCTATCCATTAATCCACCATGCCTCAGCTATCCATTACTCCTCCACCATGTATTCATTACTCAGCTATCCATTATCCATCCACCACATGACTCAGCTATCCATTAATCCACCATGCCTCAGCTATCCATTAATCCACCATGCCCTCAGCCATCCACCATGACTACCTCCACCATGCCTCAGCCATCCATTACTCCACCATACCCTCAGGAATCCATTACTCCACCATGACTCAGCCATCCATTACTCCACCATGCCCAGCTATCCATTACCCACCATGCCTCAGCCATCCATTAATCCACCATGCCCTTCAGCCATCCACACTCCACCATACCTCAGCTTATCCATATCATCCACCATGCCTCAGCCATCCATTACTCCACTATGCCTCAGGTATCCATTATTCCACCATGACCAGGCATCCACACTGCCACCATGCCCTCAGCCATCCATTATTCCACCATGCCTCAGCTATCCATTAATCCACCATGCCCTCACACCACATCCATTATTACATCCACCATGACTCAGCCATCCATTACACCACCAGCTTACCATTCAGCATATCCAGATATCCACCATGCCCCAGCTATCCATTAACCACCATGCCTCAGGTATCCACCATACTCCACCATGTACCTCAGCTATCCATTACTCCACCATGCCTCAGCTATCCATTACTCCACCATGCCTCAGCTATCCATTACTCCACCATGAATCCATTAAATCCACCATATCAGCTTTCAACACCCACCATGACTCAGCTATCCATTAACACCACCATGACTCAGCTATCCATTACTCCACCATACCAGCTATCCATTACTCCACCAGGCCTCAGGTATTCATTACTCCACCATGCCCTCAGCCATCCATTACTCCACCATGCCTCAGGTATCCATTAATCCACTCCCCGCATCCACAGCTATCCATTACTCCACCATGACTCAGCTTTCCATTAATCCACCATACCTCAGCTATCCATTAATCCACCATGCCCCAGGCATCCATTACTCCACCATACCCTCAGCTATCCATTAATCCACAATGCCTCAGCTATCCATTAATCCACCTCAGGCCCCATTTACACCACCATGCCATTACTCCATTACACCATGCCTCAGCTATCCATTATTCCACCATGCCCAGCCATCCATTAATCCACCATGGCCATTATTGACATCCCACCATGCCCCTCAGGTATCCATTATTCCACCATGCCCCAGCCATCCATTACTCCACCATGCCTCAGCCATCCATTACTCCACCATGCCTCAGCCATCCATTAATCCACCATGCCCCTCAGGTATCCATTACCCACCATGCCTCAGCTATCCATTAATCCACCATGCCTCAGATATCCACACTCCACCATGACTCAGCTATCCATTATTCCACCATGCCCAGCCATCCATTACTCCACCATGCCCTCAGCTATCCATTAACCACCATGCCCTCAGCTATCCATTACTCCACCATGCCTCAGCCATCCATTACTCCACCATACCCTCAGCTATCCACACCATGCCAGCCATCCATAACCCACCATGACTAGCCATCCATTACTCCACCATGCCCTCAGCCATCCATTACCCACCATGCCTCAGCTATCCATTACCAGCTCCACCATGGCTCAGCCATCCATTACTCCACCATGCCCTCAGCCACTATCCATTACTCCACCATGCCTCAGCTATCCATTAATCCACTATGCCTCAGCTATCCATTACTCCACCATACCCACATGCCCTTTCATCCATTACTCCACCATGCCTCAGGCATCCATTACTCCACCATGCCCCTCAGCCATCCATTACATCCACCATGACTCAGCTATCCATTACACCACCATACCTCAGCCATCCACACTCCACCATGCCTCAGCCATCCACATTATTCCACCATGACCTCCATGACCACATGCCTCAGGCATCCATTACCCACCATGCCCTCAGCTATCCATAACTCCACCATGGACTCAGCCATCCATTACTCCACCATGCCTCAGCCATCCATTACCTCCACCATGCCTCAGGTATCCATTACCCACCATGCCCCTCAGGCATCCATTACACCACCATGACCTAGCATCCATTACTCCACCATGCCTCAGCTATCCATTACCCACCATGCCCTCAGGTATCCACACTCCACCATGCCTCAGGTATCCATTACCCACCATGACTCAGCTATCCATTACTCCACCATGCCTCAGCTATCCATTACTCCACCATGCCCAGCCATCCATTACTCCACCCATGACTCAGCTATCCATTACTCCACCATGACTCAGCTATCCATTAATCCATGCCTCAGGTATCCACATCTCCACCATGCCTCAGCCATCCATTAATCCACCATGCCTCAGCTATCCATTACCACCATCCACCATGCCCCTCAGGCATCCATTACTCCACCATGACTCAGCCATCCATTACTCCACCATGCCTCAGCTCAAATCCACATCCATATCCATTATCCACCATGCCCTCAGCTATCCATTACTCCACCATGCCTCAGCTATCCATTACTCCACCATGACTCAGCCATCCATTACTCCACCATGACTCCAGCCATCCATTACTCCACCATGGCTCAGCCATCCATTACTCCACCATGCCCAGCTATCCATTACTCCACCATGGCACAGCTATCCACCACTCCACCATGCCTCAGCCATCCATTACCCACCATACCTCAGCTATCCATTAATCCACCATGCCCTCAGCTATCCATTATTCCACCATGACCCCACCCATCCATTACTCCACCATGCCTCAGCTATCCACATCCACCATGCCCTAGCATCCACACCATGACAGCCATCCATTACTCCACCATGCCCCCAGCTATCCATTACTCCACCATGCCCCAGCCATCCACACTCCACCATGACTCAGCTATCCATTACTCCACCATACCCTCAGCTATCCATTAATCCACCATGCCTCAGCCATCCATTACTCCACCATGCCCAGCTATCCCATTACCATGTCTTAGGCATCCATTAATCCTCCATGCTATCCATTTTCCACCATGGCTCAGCCATCCATTAATCCACCATGCCCCAGCTATCCATTACCCACCATGAGTCAGGCATCCATTACCCACCATGCCTCAGCTATCCACACTCCACCATGCCTCAGCCATCCATTAATCCACCATGCCTCAGCCATCCATTACTCCACCATGGCCTCAGCTATCCATTACTCCACCATGCCCCAGGAATCCATCCACTCCACCATGCCTCAGCTTACCATTACTCCACCATGACCAGCCATCCATATCCACCATGCCCCAGCCATCCATTAATCCACCATGCCTCAGCCATCCATTACTCCACCATGCCTCAGCCATCCATTTTACTCCACCATGACTCAGCTATCCATTACTCCACCATGCCCTCAGCTATCCACTACTCCACCATGACTCACCCATCCACCTCCACCATGTCATTATCCATTATTCCACCATGACTCAGCCATCCATTACCTCCACCATGCCTCAGCAGGCATCCCACCATGCCCCACCTCCACCATGACTCAGCTATCCATTACTCCACCATGACTCCAGCATCCATTACTCCACCATGCCTCAGCTATCCATTACTCCACCATGCCCTCAGCCATCCATTACTCCACCATGGACTCAGCCATCCATTACTCCACCATGACCTCAGCTATCCATTACTCCACCATGCCCTCAGCATCCATTACTCCACCATGCCTCAGGTATCCATTACTCCACCATGCCTCAGCCATCCATTACTCCACCATGCCTCAGCCATCCATTACTCCACCATACCTCCACCATGCCTTATCCATTACTCCACCATGCCCTCAGCTATCCACACTCCACCATGACTCAGGTATCCATTACTCCACCATGCCTCAGCCATCCATTACTCCACCATGCCTCAGCCGCTATCCATTACCCACCATATCAGCATCCACACTCCACCATGCCCTCAGCCATCCATTACTCCACCATGCCCTCAGCCATCCATTACTCCACCATGACTCAGCCATCCATTATTCCACCATGACTCAGCCATCCATCCCACCATGACTCCATCCAGCCATCCATTAATCCACCATGCCTCAGCTATCCATTACTCCACCATACCTCAGCCATCCATTACCCACCATGCCTCAGCCATCCATTATTCCACCATGCCCTCAGCTGTCCATTACTCCATCATATCTCCATATCCATTACTCCTCAGCCATCCATCCATTACTCCACCATGCCACAGCCATCCACACTCCACCATGCCCTCAGCTATCCATTACTCCACCATGCCTCAGCCATCCACACTCCACCATGACTCAGCCATCCATTACTCCACCATACCTCAGCTATCCATTAATCCACCATGCCCCTCAGCCATCCATTACTCCACCATGCCTCAGCTATCCATTACTCCACCATGCCCTCAGCCATCCCACCATGACCTCAGCTATCCATTACCCTCCATGCCAGCTATCCATTACTCCACCATGACCTCAGCCATCCATTACTCCACCATAGCTCAGCTATCCATTACCCACCATGCCTCAGCCATCCATTACCCACCATGCCCTCAGCCATCCACACTCCACCATGACCCAGCCATCCATTACTCCACCATGACCTCAGCCATCCATTACTCCACCATACCTCAGCTATCCATTACTCCACCATACCTCAGCTATCCATTAATCCACCATGCCTCAGCTATCCATTAATCCACCATGCCTCAGCTATCCATTACTCCACCATGACCTCAGCTATCCATTACTCCACCATGCCTCAGCCATCCATTACTCCACCATACCCCTTCAGCCATCCATTACTCCACCATGCCCTCAGCCATCCATTACTCCACCATGCCTCAGCTATCCATTACTCCACCATGCCTCAGCCATCCATTACCCACCATGCCTCAGCTATCCATTACTCCACCATACCTCAGCCATCCATTACCCACCATGCCTCAGCCATCCATTACTCCACCATGACTCAGCCATCCATTACTCCACCATACCCCAGCCATCCACACTCCACCATACCCTCAGCTATCCATTAATCCACCATGCCTCAGCCATCCACACTCCACCATGCCGCAGCCATCCACACTCCCACCATGACCATCAGCTATCCATTAATCCACCATGCCTCAGCTATCCATTACTCCACCATGACTCAGCCATCCATTACTCCACCATGCCTCAGCTATCCACACTCCACCATGCCTCAGCCATCCATTACTCCACCATACCCTCAGCTATCCATTACCCACCATACCTCAGCCATCCATTACTCCACCATGCCTCAGCCATCCATTATCCACCATGCCTCAGCCCATCCATTACTCCACCATGCCTCAGCTATCCATTACTCCACCATGCCTCAGGCATCCATTACTCCACCATACCCCAGCTATCCATTACTCCACCATGCCTCAGCCATCCATTACCATCCACCATACTCCACCATGCCCCCAGCTTCCATTTACTCCACCATGACTCAGCCATCCATTACTCCACCATGCCCTCAGCTATCCATTACTCCACCATACCTCATGAGCTATCCATTAATCCACCATGCCTCAGCTATCCACACTCCACATCCATTACCACCATACCCACCATGCTTCAGCCATCCATTACTCCACCATGCCTCAGCCATCCATTAATCCACCATGCCTCAGCCATCCATTACCCACCATGACTCAGCTATCCATTACTCCACCATGGCTCAGCTATCCATTACTCCACCATGCCAGCTTTTCATCCATTACTCCACCATGCCCTCAGCTATCCATTACTCCACCATGGCTCAGCTATCCATTACTCCACCATGCCTGCAGCTATCCATTACCCCACCATGCCTCAGCCATCCATTACTCCACCATGCCTCAGCCATCCATTACTCCACCATGACTCAGCCATCCATTAATCCACCATGCCCCAGCTATCCATTACTCCCACCATGACTCAGCTATCCATTACTCCACCATGACCCCTCAGCTATCCATTACCCCACCATGGCTCAGCTATCCATTACTCCACCATGACTCAGGTATCCACACTCCACCATGCCCCAGCTATCCATTACTCTACTCAGCCATCCACATTCTGACTCAGCCATCCACACTCCACCATACCGCAGCCATCCCATTCAGCCATCCACCATGACGCCCTCAGCTATCCATTACCATCCACCATCCACTAATCAGCCCAGCCATCCATTACTCCACCATGACTCAGCCATCCATTACTCCACCATGACCTCAGCTGTCCATTACTCCACCATGCCCAGCTATCCACACTCCACCATGCCTCAGCTATCCATTACTCCACCATGCCTCAGCTATCCATTACTCCACCATGCCTCAGCTATCCATTACTCCACCATGACTCAGCCATCCATTACTCCACCATGCCCTCAGGTATCCATTACCCACCATCCACCATGCCTTAGGCTATCCATTACTCCACCATGACTCAGCTATCCATTACTCCACCATGCCTCCAGCCATCCATTACTCCACCATGCCTCAGGCATCCACACTGCACCATGCCTCAGCTATCCACACACACTCCACCATGAGCTCCACACTCCACCATGCCCAGCTATCCACACTCCACCATACCTCAGCCATCCATTACTCCACCATGCCTCAGCTATCCATTATTCCACCATGACTCCAGGCATCCATCCACCATGACTCTACCATTACCTCCACCATACCCTAGCCATCCACACTCCACCATGCCTCAGCCATCCACACTCCACCATGACTCAGCTATCCACACTCCACCATGACTCAGCTATCCATTAATCCACCATGCCCTCAGCCATCCATTACTCCACCATGACTCAGCCATCCATTATTCCACCATGACCCAGCTATCCATTACCCACCATGACCAGCCATCCATTACTCCACCATGCCCTCAGCTATCCACACTCCACCATGCCTCAGCCATCCATTACTCCACCATGCCTCCAGCCATCCACACTCCACCATGCCCCAGCCATCCACATCCACCATGACCTGTGCTATCCATTACTCCACCATACCCTCAGCCATCCATTACTCCACCATACCTCAGCCATCCACACTCCACCATACCAGCCATCCAGCCATCCATTACTCCACCCATACCATCCTCAGCTATCCATTACTCCACCATACCCTCAGCTATCCATTAATCCACCATGCCCTCAGCCATCCATTACTCCACCATGACTCAGCTTGGTCCATTACTCCACCATACCTCAGCTATCCATTACTCCACCATACCCTCAGCCATCCATTACTCCACCATACCCTCAGCTATCCATTACTCCACCATACCTCAGCTATCCATTAATCCACCATGCCTCAGCTTTCATCCATTACTCCACCACGACCTCAGCTATCCACACCACCATTACCCTCAGCCATCCATCCACTCCACCATGCCTCAGCTATCCATTACTCCACCATACCCTCAGCCATCCACACTCCACCATACCTCAGCCATCCACACTCCACCATACCCCCAGCCATCCATTACTCCACCATACCAGCCATCCATTAATCCACCATACCTCAGCCATCCACACTCCACCATACCTCGCCATCCACATCCACCATAGCCTCAGCCATCCATTACTCCACCATACCCCTCAGCCATCCACACTCCACCATACCTCAGCCATCCACACTCCACCATACCTCAGCTATCCATTAATCCACCATGCCATCCACAACATCATCCACACTCCACCATGCCTCAGCCATCCATTAATCCACCATGCCTCAGCCATCCATTACTCCACCATGCCTCAGCCATCCATTTCACATCCACCATGTCTCAGCCATCCATTAATCCACCATACCTCAGCCATCCATTACTCACCATGACTCCAGCCATCCATTATCTCCCACCATGCCTCAGCCATATCCATTATCCCACCATACCTCAGCTATCCATTACTCCACCATACCTCAGCTATCCATTACTCCCACCATACCTCAGCTATCCATTACCATCCACCATCCATTACTCCACCTCAGCTGTCCATTACTCCACCATACCTCAGGTATCCATTACTCCACCATGCCTCAGCTATCCATTACTCCACCATGCCTCTCAGCTTATCCATTAATCCACCATGGCCTCAGCTATCCATTACTCCACCATACCTCAGCTATCCATTACTCCACCATGCCTCAGCTATCCATTACTCCACCATACCTCAGCTATCCATTAATCCACCATGCCTCAGCCATCCATTACTCCACCATTCCCTCAGCTATCCATTATCCACCATGCCTCAGCTATCCATTACTCCACCATGCCTCAGCCATCCATTACTCCACCATGACTCAGCCATCCATTACTCCACCATACCTCAGCTATCCATTACTCCACCATGCCTCAGCCATCCATTACTCCACCATGACCTCAGCTATCCATGCCTCAGCCATCCACCACCATACCTCAGCTATCCATTATTCCACCACACCACCATCCACACCCACCATCAGCTATCCATTAATCCACCATGCCTCAGCTGTCCATTAACCTCCATGCCTGGTATTCATTACTCCACCATATCCATTACTCCACCATGCCCTCAGCTATCCATTAATCCACCATGCCTCAGCTATCCATTACTCCACCATGGCTCAGCTATCCATTACTCCACCATGCCTCCATCCAATCCATTATTCCACACCATACCTCAGCTATCCATTAATCCCATGCCCCAGCCATCCACACTCCACCATGCCCCCTCAGCTATCCATTAATCCACCATGCCTCAGCCATCCATTACTCCACCATGCCTCAGCTATCCACATCCACCATGACCAGCCCACATCCATTACTCCACCATGACTCAGCCCATCCATTACTCCACCATGGCTCAGCTATCCACACTCCACCATGCCTCAGCCATCCATTACTCCACCATGCCTCAGCTATCCATTACTCCACCATGCTCACCATGCTATCCATTACTCCACCATGCCTCCCAGCCATCCATTACTCCACCATACCTCCAGCCATCCATTAATCCACCATGCCTCAGCTATCCCTTACTCCACCATACCTCAGCTATCCATTAATCCACCATGCCTCAGCCATCCATTACTCCACCATGACTCCACCCATCCATTACTCCACCATGACTCAGCTATCCACACCCACCATGGCTCAGCTACCCCCATGCCCCAGGTATTCCACCATGCCTCAGCCATCCATTACTCCACCATGCCTCCAGCCATCCATTACTCCACCATGCCTCAGCTATCCATTAATCCACCATGCCCTCAGCTATCCATTATCCACCATGCCTCACATCCATTATCCACCATGGCTCAGCACCATACCCACAGCCATCCATTAATCCACCATGCCCTCAGCTGTCCATTACTCCACCATACCCCTGCCATCCATCCCACCATGCCTCATCCACACTCCACCATGCCTCAGCTATCCATTACTCCACCATGGCTCAGATATCCATTACTCCACCATACCTCAGCTATCCATTACTCCTCCATGCCTCAGGTATTCATTACTCCACCATGCCTTAGGTATCCATTAATCCACCATGACTCAGCTTTCCATTACTCCACCATTCCTCAGCTATCCATTAATCCACCATGCCTCAGGTATCCATTACTGCACCATGCCTCAGCTATCCATTACTCCACCATGACTCAGCTATCCATTACTCCACCATACCTCAGCTATCTATTACTCCACCATGACTCACCTATCCATTATTCCACCATGACTAGCCATCCATTACTCCACCACACCAGCCATCCACACTCCACCATGCCTCAGCTATCCATTACCCACCATGACTCAGCCATCCATTACTCCACCATGACTCAGGTATCCACACCCACCATGCCTCAGCCATCCATTACTCCACCCATGACCTAGCCATCCATTACTCCACCATACCTCAGCCATCCATTAATCCACCATGCCCTCAGCCATCCATTAATCCACCATGACTCAGGTATCCATTACTCCACCATGCCGCATCCATTATCCACTATGCCCCAGCCATCCACACTCCTCCATGCCCTCAGCTATCCATTACTCCACCATGCCTCAGCCATCCATTACTCCACCATGGCTCAGCTATCCATTACTCCACCATGCCTCAGATATCCATTACTCCACCATACCCCCATTACCCTCCATCCTCAGGTATTCACTCCACCATGCCTTAGGCATCCATTAATCCACCATGACTCAGCTTTCCACATTACTCCACCATGCCCCCAGCCATCCATTACTCCACCATGCCTCAGGTATCCATTACTCCACCATGACCCAGCCATCCATTTACCCACCATGACTCAGCCATCCATTACCCACCATGACTCAGCTATCCATTACTCCACCATACCTCAGCTATCCATTAATCCACCATGCCTCAGCCATCCATTACCTCCACCATACCTCCACCTATCCATTACCCCACCATGCCTCAGCGCCATCCATTACCCACCATGACTCAGCTATCCATTACTCCACCATGCCTCAGCTATCCATTACCCACCACCATCCCAGCCATCCATTAATCCACCATGCCTCAGCTATCCATTACTCCACCATGACTCAGCTATCCATTACTCCACCATACCTCAGCTATCCATTACTCCACCATACCTCAGCTATCCATTACTCCACCATACCTCAGCTATCCATTACTCCACCATGCCTCAGCTATCCATTACTCCACCATACCTCAGCTATCCATTAATCCACCATGCCTCAGCTATCCATTACTCCACCATGACTCAGCTATCCATTACTCCACCATACCTCAGCTATCCATTACTCCACCATCCTCAGCTTATCCATTACCCACCATATGCCTCAGCTATCCATTACTCCACCATGCCTCAGCTATCCATTAATCCACCATGCCCTCAGCCATCCATTACTCCACCATGCCTCAGCTATCCATTGCTATACCATACCTCAGCTATCCATTAATCCACCATGCCTCAGCTTATCCATTACTCCACCATGACTCAGCTTATCCATTACTCCACCATACCTCAGCTATCCATTACTCCACCATGCCTCCATTACCCACCATCCAGCTATCCATTAATCCACCATGCCTCAGCTATCCATTACTCCACCATCCTCAGCTATCCACACTCCACCCCATACCTCAGCTATCCATTAATCCACCATGCCTCAGGTATCCATTACTCCACCATGCCCCAGGCATCCATTACCCACCATACCTCACCTATCCATTAATCCACCATGCCTCAGCTATCCATTAATCCATCTATCCATTAATCCACAGCCCCCATCCATTACACCACCATGACTCAACTTATCCATTATTCCACCCATGCCTCAGGTATCCATTACTCCACCATACCTCCAGCTATCCATTACTCCACCATGACTCAGCCATCCATTACTCCACCATGCCTCAATATCCATTACTCCCACCATGCCTCAGCTATCCATTACTCCCACCATGTCTTGAGCTATCCATTACTCCACCATACCTCAGCTATCCATTAATCCACCATGGCTCAGCCATCCATTACTCCACCATGACTCAGCTATCCATTACTCCACCATGCCGCAGCTCCATTACTCCACCATACTCTACCATGACCACCACACCAGCTGTCCATTAATCCACCATGCCCTCAGCTATCCATTACTCCACCATACCTCAGCTATCCATTACTCCACCATGCCTCAGCTATCCATCCACCATGCCCTATCCATTACCTCATGCCAGCTATCCATTAATCCACCATGCCCTCAGCTATCCATTACTCCCCACCATGGCTCACCTATCCACCAGCTATCCATCCACCATGCCTCAGCTATCCATTGCTCCACCATGGCCTCAGCTATCCAGGCATTGCTCCACCATGCCTCACCTCCATCCATTCAGCTCTATTACTCCACCATGCCCAGCTATCCATTACTCCACCATGGCTCAGCTATCCATTACTCCACCACACTCAGCTATCCATTATTCCACCATGCCTCAGGCATCCATTACCCACCATACCCCTTCAGCTATCCATTACCCACCATGCCCCACCCATCCATTAATCCACCATGCCTCAGCTATCCATTACTCCACCATGCCTCAGCTATCCATTACTCCACCATGCCTCCATTATCCATTACTCCACCATGCCCCCCATCCATCCATTACTCCACCATGGCCTCAGCTATCCATTACTCCACCATGACTCAGCTATCCATTACTCCACCATGCCTCAGCTATCCATTACTCCACCATGCCTCAGCTATCCATTACTCCACCATGACTCAGCCATCCATTACTCCACCATGACTCACCCATCCATTACTCCACCATGCCTCAGCTATCCATTACTCACCATGCCTCAGCTATCCATTACCCACCATGCCTCAGCCATCCATTACTCCACCATGACTCAGCCATCCATTACCCACCATGACTCACCTATCCATTATTCCACCATGACTCAGCTATCCATTACTCCACCATGACCTCAGCCATCCATTACTCCACCACCAGCTGCCACATCTACCACCATGCCCTATCCATTACTCCACCATACCTCAGCTATCCATTACCCACCATGCCTCACCCATCCATTACTCCACCATGCCCAGCCATCCATTACTCCACCATACCTCAGCCATCCATTAATCCACCATGCCTCAGCTATCCATTACCCACCATGCCCCTCAGCTATCCATTCCCACCATCCACCTCAGCTATCCATTACTCCACCATGCCTCAGCCATCCATACTCCACCACCATGCCCTATCCACATCCACCATACCTCAGCTATCCATTACCCACCTATCCATTAATCCACCATGCCTCAGCTATCCATTACTCCACCATGACTCAGCTATCCATTACTCTACCATACCTCAGCTATCCATTACTCCACCATGCCTCAGCTATCCATTACTCCACCATGACTCAGCTATCCATTACTCCACCATGACTCAGCTATCCATTACTCCACCATGACTCAGCTATCCATTACTCCACCATGCCTCAGCTATCCATTACTCCACCATGCCTCAGCTATCCATTACTCCACCATCCACTCAGCTATCCATTACCCACCATGACTCACCCATCCATTACTCCACCATACCCTATCCATTACCCACCATGCCTCAGCTCCATTACTCCACCATGACTCAGCCATCCATTACTCCACCATGCCTCACCTATCCATTACTCCACCATGACTCAGCTATCCACACTCCACCATACCTCAGCCATCCATTACCACCATGCCTCAGCTATCCATTACTCCACCATGACTGAGCTATCCATTACTACCACCATACCCCATCCACACTCCCCATGACTCAGCCATCCATTTACCCACCATGCAGCTATCCATTACTCCACCATGACTCAGCTATCCATTACCCACCATACCTCAGCCATCCATTACTCCACCATGACAGCTATCCATTACTCCACCATGACTCAGCTATCCATTACTCCACCATGCCTCAGCTATCCATTACTCCACCATGACTCACCCATCCATTACTCCCATGATGCCACATATCCATTACTCCACCATACCTCAGCCATCCATTCCACCATGGCTCAGCCACCATGCCTCAGCTATCCATTACTCCACCATGACCCAGCCATCCATTACTCCACCATGACCTGCATAGCCATCCACACTCCACCATGCCCCAGCTATCCATCCAATCCACCATGCCTCAGCTGTCCACACTCCTCCATGCCCACCATGAGACACCATCATCCATATCCATTACTCCACCATGCCCTGACTATCCATTACTCCACCATGCCCAGCCATCCATTACTCCACCATGACCTCAGCTATCCATTACTCCACCATGACTCAGCCATTACCATCCATTATTCCACCATGACTCCAGCCATCCATTACTCCACCATGACTCACCCATCCACACTCCACCATGACTCACCTATCCATTACTCCACCATGCCCTCAGCCATCCATTACTCCACCATGACTCAGCTATCCATTACTCCACCATGACTCAGCTATCCATTACTCCACCATGACTCACCCATCCATTACTCCACCATGGCTCACCCATCCACACTCCACCATGCCTCAGCTATCCATCCACCATACCTCCACCATGACCTGAGCCATCCATTACTCCACCATGACTCAGCCATCCATTACCCACCATGACTCAGCTATCCATTACTCCACCATGCCTCAGCTATCCACACTCCACCATGACTCAGCTATCCATTACCCACCATGGCCCCATATCCATTACCCACCATGCCTCAGCTTATCCATTACTCCACCATGCCTCAGCCATCCATTACTCCACCATGCCCAGCCATCCATTACTCCACCATGACCTCAGCTATCCATTACTCCACCATGCCTCAGCCATCCATTACTCCACCATGCCGCAGCTATCCATTACTCCACCATGCCCTCAGCTATCCATTACTCCACCATGCCTCAGCTATCCATTACTCCACCATGACTCCAGCTATCCATTACTCCACCATGACTCAGCCATCCATTACTCCACCATGCCTCAGCCATCCATTACTCCACCATGCCTCAGCTATCCATTACTCCACCATGACCTCAGCTATCCATTACTCCACCATGACTCAGCTATCCATTACTCCACCATAACCTCAGCCATCCATTACTCCACCATGCCTCAGCTATCCATTACTCCACCATGACTCAGCTATCCATTACCCACCATGCCGCAGCCATCCACACTCCACCATGACTCAGCTTATCCATTACTCCACCATGCCTCAGCTATCCATTACCCACCATGACTCAGCTATCCATTACTCCACCATGACTCAGCCATCCATCCACCATACCCCACCATCCATTACTCCACCATGCCCTCATCCATTACTCCACCATGACTCAGCCATCCATTACTCTACCATACCCCAGCCATCCATTACTCCACCATGCCCCTCAGCCATCCATTACTCCACCATGACTCAGCCATCCATTACTCCACCATGACTCAGCCATCCATTACTCCACCATGACAAGCTATCCTCAGCCATCCATTACCCACCATGACTCAGCTATCCATTACTCCACCATGCCAGCTATCCATTACCCACCATGACTCAGCCATCCATTACTCCACCATGACTCACCCATCCACTCCACCATGACTCAGCCATCCATTATTCCACCATGACTCAGCCCATCCACACCACTCCACCATGACTCAGCTATCCATTACTCCACCATGACTCAGCCATCCATTACTCCACCATGACTCACCCATCCATTACTCCACCATGCCCTCAGCTATCCATTACTCCACCATGCCTCAGCTATCCATTACTCCACCATGACTCAGCTATCCATTACTCCCACCATGACTCAGCTATCCATTACTCCACCATGACCTCAGCTATCCATTACTCCACCATGCCTCAGCCATCCATTACTCCACCATGCCTCAGCTATCCATTACTCCACCATGACTCAGCTATCCATTACCTATCCACCATGATCCATTTATCCACCATGACTACCACCATGACCATCCACCCATCCATTACTCCACCATGACTCACCTATCCATTACTCCACCATGCCTCAGCCATCCATTACTCCACCATGACTCAGCCATCCATTACTCCACCATGACTCAGCTATCCATTACTCCACCATGCCCCTCAGCTATCCATTACCCACCATGACTCAGCTATCCATTACTCCACCATGCCCAGCCATCCATTACTCCACCATACCTCAGCTATCCATTACTCCACCATGCCTCAGCCATCCATTACTCCACCATGCCTCAGCTATCCATTACTCCACCATGACTCAGCTATCCATTACCCACCATGACCCAGCCATCCATTACTCCACCATGACTCAGCCATCCATTACTCCACCATGACCTCACCCATCCATTACTCCACCATGCCTCAGCCATCCATTACTCCACCATGATCTCAGCCATCCATTACTCCACCATGCCTCAGCTATCCATTACTCCACCATGCCCAGCCCATCCATTACTCCACCATGCCTCAGCTATCCATTACCAGCCACCATGACTCAGCCATCCATTACTCCACCATGATCCATTACTCACCATCCAGCTATCCATTCCACCATGACCCTATCCACATCCACCATTCCACCATCCATTACTCCACCATACAGCCCATCCATTACTCCACCATGCCTCAGCTATCCATTACTCCACCATGACTCAGCCATCCATTACTCCACCATGCCTCAGCTATCCACATAACCCACCATGCCCCTCAGCCATCCATTACTCCACCATGCCTCAGCTATCCATTACTCCACCATGCCTCAGCTATCCATTACTCCACCATGACTCAGCTATCCATTACTCCACCATGCCTCAGCCATCCATTACCCACCATGCCCTCAGCCATCCATTACTCCACCATGACCAGTCAGCCATTATCCACCACTCCACCATGACCACCATGGCATCCATTACTCCACCATGCCGCAGCTATCCATTACTCCACCATGACTCAGCTATCCATTACTCCACCATGCCTCAGCTATCCATTACTCCACCATGCCCTCAGCTATCCATTACTCCACCATGCCTCAGCTATCCATTACCCACCATGACCCAGCCATCCATGGCCATCAGCTATCCATTACCCACCATGCCCCAGCCATCCATTACTCCACCACATGACATCAGCTATCCATTACTCCACCATGCCTCCTATCCATTACTCCACCATCCTCACCTATCCATTACCCCACCATGCCCCAGCCATCCATTACTCCACCATGACTCAGCAGCCATCCATTACTCCACCATGCCTCAGCCCATTACTCCACCATGACCCAGCCATCCACACCACCATGACCAGCTATCCATTACTCCACCATGACCATTACTCCACCATGCCCAGCATCCATTACTCCACCATTACCTCAGCTATCCATTACTCCACCATGCCTCAGCTATCCATTATTACTCTCCTATCCATTACTCCCATGCAGCTATCCATTACTCCACCATGACTCAGCTCCATTACCCACCATGCCGCAGCATCCATTACTCCACCATGACTCAGCTATCCATTACTCCACCATGCCTCAGCCATCCATTACTCCACCATGACTCAGCCATCCATTACTCCACCATGCCTCAGCTATCCATTACTCCACCATGCCACCTCAGCATGACTATCCATTACTCCACCATGACTCAGCTATCCATTACTCCACCATGCCTCAGCTATCCATTACTCCACCATGCCCTCAGCCATCCATTACTCCACCATGCCTCAGCCATCCATTACCCACCATGACCAGCTATCCATTACTCCACCATGCCTCAGCTATCCACACTCCACCATGACTCAGCCATCCATTACTCCACCATGACTCAGCTATCCATTACTCCACCATGACCAGCCTATCCATTACTCCACCATGACTCAGCATCCATTACCCACCATGACTCAGCTATCCATATCCACTCCACCATGCCCCCAGCTATCCATTACCCACCATGACCCTCAGCCATCCATTACCATTACTCCACCATGCCTCAGCTATCCATTACTCCACCATGACTCAGCTATCCATTACTCCACCATGACTCAGCTATCCATTACTCCACCATGACTCAGCCTATCCATTACTCCACCATGACCTCAGCTATCCATTACTCCACCATGACCACCTATCCAGCTGTTACCCACCATGACTCAGCTATCCATTACTCCACCATGCCTCAGCTATCCATTACTTCATGACCAGCTATCCATTACCCACCATGACCCTCAGCCATCCATTACTCCACCATGACCTCAGCCATCCATTACTCCACCATGCCTCAGCCATCCATTACTCCACCATGACCAGCCATCCATTACTCCACCATGCCTCAGCCATCCATTACTCCACCATGACTCAGCTATCCATTACTCCACCATGCCCAGCTATCCATTACTCCACCATATCCACTCAGCTATCCATTACTCCACCATGACTCAGCTATCCATTACTCCACCATGACTCAGCTATCCCATTACCCAATCCACCATGACTCTCAGCCATCCATATCCACCATACCCACCCATCCATGCCCACCCCAGCCTCATCCATTACTCCACCATGACTCAGCCATCCATTACTCCACCATGACTCAGCTATCCATTACTCCACCATGACTCAGCTATCCATTACTCCACCATGACTCAGCTATCCACACTCCACCATGCCTCAGCTATCCATTACTCCACCATGACTCACCTATCCATTACTCCACCATGCCTCAGCTATCCATTACTCCACCATGCCCCTCCAGCATACCCAGCTATCCATTACTCCACCATGACCCAGCCATCCATTACTCCACCATGACTCACCTATCCATTACTCCACCATGCCTCAGCTATCCATTACTCCACCCATGCCGCAGCTATCCATTATCCATCCACCATGCCTCAGCCATCCATTACTCCACCATGCCCCAGCCATCCATTACTCCACCATGACTCAGCTATCCATTACTCCACCATGACTCAGCTATCCATTACTCCACCATGACTCACCCATCCATTACTCCACCATGACCCACCTATCCATTACTCCACCATGGCCTCCAGCTATCCATTACCCACCATGCCTCAGCCATCCATTACTCCACCATGACTCAGCCATCCATTACTCCACCATGCCCTCAGCTATCCATTACTCCACCATGACTCAGCCATCCATTACCCACCATGCCTCAGCTATCCATTACTCCACCATGCCGCAGCTATCCATTACTCCACCATGCCCACACTCCACCCACAGCTATCCATTACTCCCACCACACCATGACCACCTATCCATTACTCCACCATGCCTCAGCTATCCATTACTCCACCATGCCATCCAGCTATCCATTACTCCACCATGGCTCAGCTATCCATTACTCCACCATGCCGCAGCTATCCATTACTCCACCATACCTCAGCTATCCACACTCCACCATGACCTCAGCCATCCATTACTCCACCATGACTCAGCTATCCATTACTCCACCATGCCGCAGCTATCCATTACTCTACCATACCTCAGCTATCCATTACTCCACCATGCCCAGCTATCCATTACTCCACCATGGCTCAGCTATCCATTACCCACCATGCCTCAGCTATCCATTACCCACCATGGCCTCAGCTATCCATTCCACCATCAGCATCCATTACCATTACTCCACCATACCTCAGCTATCCATTACTCCACCATGCCTCAGGTATCCATTACTCCACCATGCCTCAGCTATCCATTACTCCACCATGCCTCAGCTATCCATTAATCCACCATGCCTCAGCTATCCATTACTCCACCATGACTCAGCTATCCATTACTCCACCATGCCTCAGCTATCCATTAATCCACCATGCCTCAGCTATCTATTACTCCACCATGACTCACCTATCCATTACTCCACCATGACTCAGCTATCCATTACTCCACCATACCTCAGCTATCCATTACTCCACCAGGCCTCAGGTATTCATTACTCCACCATGACTCAGCTATCCATTACTCCACCATGCCGCAGCTATCCATTACTCTACCATACCTCAGCTATCCATTACTCCACCATGACTCAGCTATCCATTACTCCACCATGACTCAGCCATCCATTACCATCCACCATTACCTCCAGCCATCCATTACTCCACCATGCCTCAGCTATCCATTACTCCACTCAGCATCCATGACATCCACTATCTATCCATTACTCCACCATGACTCAGCTATCCATTACTCCACCATGACTCAGCTGTCCATTCCACTCCACCATGACCATCAGCCACATCCATTACCATTCCACCATGCCTCAGGTATCCATTACTCCACCATGACTCAGCCATCCATTACTCCACCATGCCCTCAGCTATCCATTACTCCACCATGGCTCAGCTATCCATTACCACCATGGCTCAGCTATCCATTACCCACCATGACTCCATCCCCACCATCCATCCATTACTCCACCATGACCTCAGCCATCCATTACTCCACCATGCCTCAGCTATCCATTAATCCACCATGCCCACAGCCATCCATTACTCCCACCATGACTCACCTATCCATTACTCCACCATGACTCCACCTATCCATTACTCCACCATGGCTCAGCTATCCATTACTCCACCATGCCGTTCAGCCATCCATTACTCTACCATACCCCTCAGCTATCCATTACTCCACCATGACTCAGCTATCCATTACTCCACCATGCCTCAGCTATCCATTACTCCACCATGACCCTCAGCTATCCATTACTCCACCATGACTCAGCCATCCATTACTCCACCATGGCTCAGCTATCCATTACTCCACCATGACTCAGCCTATCCATTACTCCACCATGACTCAGCTATCCATTACTCCACCATGCCTCAGCTATCCATTACTCCACCATGACTCAGCTATCCATTACTCCACCATGCCGCAGCTATCCATTACTCTACCATACCTCAGCTATCCATTACTCCACCATGACTCACCTATCCATTACTCCACCATGGCTCAGCTATCCATTACTCCACCATGCCTCAGCTATCCATTACTCCACCATGCCTCAGCTATCCATTACTCCACCATGACTCAGCTATCCATTACTCCACCATGACTCAGCTATCCATTACTCCACCATGACTCCACCTATCCATTATCCATCCACCATGACTCAGCTATCCATTACTCCACCATGCCTCAGCTATCCATTACTCCACCATGACTCAGCTATCCATTACTCCACCATGACTCAGCTATCCATTACCCACCATGCCTCAGCCATCCATTACTCCACCATGACTCAGCTATCCATTACTCCACCATGCCTCAGCTATCCATTACTCCACCATGGCTCAGCTATCCATTACACCATGCCCTCAGCTATCCACCACCATGACCAGCCTATCCATTACTCCACCACCAGCTCAGCTATCCATTACTCCACCATGCCTCAGCTATCCATTCCTCCACCATGCCTCAGCTATCCATTACTCCACCATGACTCAGCTATCCATTACTCCACCATGCCTCACCTATCCAGCCATCCATTACCCTCCACCATGCCACCATGACTCAGCTATCCATTACTCCACCATGACTCAGCTATCCATTACTCCACCATGCCCTCAGCTATCCATTACTCCACCATGACTCAGCCATCCATTACTCCACCATGACGCATCCATCCATTAGTCCACCATGCCTCAGCCATCCATTACTCCACCATGACCCATCCAGCTGATCCATTTATTCCACCATGACTCAGCTATCCATTACCCACCATGACTCAGCTATCCATTACTCCACCATGACTCAGCTATCCATTACTCCACCAGCTATCCATTACTCCAGCCCATCCATTACTCCACCATGACTCCAGCTATCCATTACTCCACCATGCCCTCAGCTATCCATTATCCACCATGACTCAGCTATCCACTCCACCATGACTCAGCTATCCATTACTCCACCATGACCCATCAGCCATCCATTACTCACCATGCCATATCCCTCCACCATGGCTCAGCTATCCATTACTGCACCATGCCTCAGCTATCCATTACTCCACCATGACTCAGCTATCCATTACTCCACCATACCTCAGCTATCCATTACTCCACCATGACTCACCTATCCATTACTCCACCATGACTCAGCTATCCATTACTCCACCATGCCTCAGCTATCCATTACTCCACCATGCCTCAGCTATCCATTACTCCACCATGCCTCAGCTATCCATTACTCCACCATGACCACCATGACCTCAGCTATCCATTACTCCACCATGACTCACCCATCCACACTCCACCATGACTCAGCCATCCATTACTCCACCATGACCCAGCCATCCATTACTCCACCATGCCTCAGCTATCCATTACTCCACCATGCCAGCTATCCATTACTCCACCATGACTCAGCTATCCATTACTCCACCATGACTCAGCTATCCATTACTCCACCATGCCTCAGCTATCCATTACTCCACCATGACTCAGCCATCCATTACTCCACCATGACCTCAGCCATCCATTACTCCACCATGACTCAGCCATCCATTACTCCATCCATTACTCTATCCATTACTCCACCATGCCTCAGCTATCCATTACTCCACCATGACCCTCAGCTATCCATTACTCCACCATGACTCAGCTATCCATTACTCCACCATGACTCACCTATCCATTACTCCACCATGCCTCAGCTATCCATTACTCCACCATGACTCAGCTATCCATTACTCCACCATGACTGAGCTCCATTACTCCACCATGACTCAGCTATCCATTACTCCACCATGACTCATCCCATCCATTACTCCACCATGCCTATCCAGCTATCCATTACTCCACCATGCCTCAGCTATCCATTACCCACCATGCCTCAGCTATCCATTACTCCACCATGACTCAGCTATCCATTACTCCACCATGCCTCAGCTATCCATTACTCCACCATGACTCAGCTATCCATTACTCCACCATGACTCAGCTATCCATTACTCCACCATGACTCAGCTATCCATTACTCCACCATGCCTCAGCTATCCATTACTCCACCATGCCTCAGCTATCCATTACTCCACCATGACTCAGCTATCCATTACTCCACCATGACTCAGCTATCCATTACTCCACCATGCCTCAGCTATCCATTACTCCACCATGACTCAGCTATCCATTACTCCACCATGATCCAGCTATCCACTCCACCATGCCTCAGCTATCCATTACTCCACCATGACTCAGCTATCCATTACTCCACCATGCCTCAGCTATCCATTACTCCATGATCAGCCTCCATTACTATCCCTGACAGCTATTATTACTCCACCATGCCCTCAGCTATCCATTACTCCACCATGACCAGCTATCCATTATTCCACCATGACTCAGCTATCCATTACTCCACCATGACTCAGCTATCCATTACTCCACCATGACTCAGCTATCCATTACTCCACCATGACTCAGCTATCCATTACTCCACCATGACTCAGCTATCCATTACTCTACCATACCTCAGCTATCCATTACTCCACCATGCCTCAGCCATCCACCATGACTCCACCATGACTCAGCTATCCATTACCATCCACCATGACTCAGCTATCCATTACTCCACCATGCCTCAGCTATCCACACTCCACCATGACTCAGCTATCCATTACTCCACCATGACTCAGCTATCCATTACCCACCATGCTATCCATTACTCCACCATGACCCAGCCATCCATTACTCCACCATGCCTCAGCTATCCATTACTCCACCATGACTCAGCCTATCCATTACCCACCATGACTCAGCTATCCATTACTCCACCATGCCTCAGCTATCCATTACTCCACCATGACTCAGCTATCCATTACTCCACCATGCCTCAGCTATCCATTACTCCACCATGACTCAGCTATCCATTACTCCACCATGACTCAGCTATCCATTACTCCACCATGACTCAGCTATCCATTACTCCACCATGACTCAGCTATCCATTACTCCACCATGACTCACCTATCCATTACTCCACCATGCCTCAGCTATCCATTACTCCACCATGACTCAGCTATCCATTACTCCACCATGACTCAGCTATCCATTACTCCACCATGCCTCAGCTATCCATTACTCCACCATGACTCAGCTATCCATTACTCCACCATGCCTCAGCTATCCATTACTCCACCATGCCTCAGCTATCCATTACTCCACCATGCCTCAGCTATCCATTACTCCACCATGACTCAGCTATCCATTACTCCACCATGACTCAGCTATCCATTACTCCACCATGCCTCAGCTATCCATTACTCCACCATGACTCAGCTATCCATTACTCCACCATGACTCAGCTATCCATTACTCCACCATGACTCACCTATCCATTACTCCACCATGCCTCAGCTATCCATTATTCCACCATGACTCAGCTATCCATTACTCCACCATGACTCACCTATCCATTACTCCACCATGACTCACCTATCCATTACTCCACCATGCCTCAGCTATCCATTACTCCACCATGCCCCACCATGACTCAGCTATCCATTACTCCACCATGCCCACCATGACTCAGCTATCCATTACTCCACCATGACTCAGCTATCCATTACTCCACCATGCCGCAGCTATCCATTACTCTACCATACCTCAGCTATCCATTACTCCACCATGCCTCAGCTATCCATTACTCCACCATGACTCAGCTATCCATTACTCCACCATGCCGCAGCTATCCATTACTCTACCATACCTCAGCTATCCATTACTCCACCATGCCTCAGCTATCCATTACTCCACCATGACTCAGCTATCCATTACTCCACCATGCCTCAGCTATCCATTACTCCACCATGACTCAGCTATCCATTACTCCACCATGCCGCAGCTATCCATTACCCACCATGACTCAGCTATCCATTACTCCACCATGCCCTCAGCTATCCATTACTCCACCATGGCTCAGCTATCCATTACCCACCATGCCGCAGCTATCCATTACTCCACCATGCCTCAGCTATCCATTACTCCACCATGCCTCAGCTATCCATTACTCCACCATGACTCAGCTATCCATTACTCCACCATGACTCAGCTATCCATTACTCCACCATGACTCACCTATCCATTACTCCACCATGCCTCAGCCATCCATTACTCCACCATAACCAGCTATCCATCCACCATGCCTCAGCATTACCCACCATGACTAGCTATCCATTACTCCACCATGACTAGCCATCCATTACTCCACCATGCCTCAGCTATCCATTACTCCACCATACCTCAGCTATCCATTACTCCACCATGCCTCAGCTATCCATTACTCCACCATGACTCAGCTATCCATTACTCCACCATGCCTCAGCTATCCATTACTCCACCATGACTCAGCTATCCATTACTCCACCATGCCTCAGCTCCATCCACCATGCCTCACTCCATTACTCCACCATGCCTCAGCTATCCATTACTCCACCATGACTCAGCTATCCATTACTCCACCATGACTCAGCTATCCATTACTCCACCATGACTCAGCTATCCATTACTCCACCATGCCTCAGCTATCCATTACTCCACCATGCCTCAGCTATCCATTACTCCACCATGACTCAGCTATCCATTACTCCACCATGCCGCAGCTATCCATTACTCTACCATACCTCAGCTATCCATTACTCCACCATGCCTCAGCCATCCAGCTCCACCATGACTCAGCCATCCATTACTCCACCATGCCTCAGCTATCCATTACTCCACCATGACTCAGCTATCCATTACTCCACCATGGCTCAGCTATCCATTACTCCACCATGACCTCAGCTATCCATTACTCCACCATACCTCAGCTATCCATTACTCCACCATGCCTCAGCTATCCATTACTCCACCATGACTCAGCTATCCATTACTCCACCATGACCGCCATTACCCACCATCCTATCCATTACTCTACCATACCCTCAGCTATCCATTACTCCACCATGCCTCAGCTATCCATTACCCACCATGACTCAGCTATCCATTACTCCACCATGCCGCAGCTATCCATTACTCTACCATACCAGCCATCCATTACTCCACCATGCCCCTCAGCCATCCATTACTCCACCATGGCTCAGCTATCCATTACTCCACCATGCCGCAGCTATCCATTACCTACCATGACCTCAGCTATCCATTACTCCACCATGACCACATCCATGACTCACCCATCCAAGCCATCCATCCATTACTCCACCATGACTCAGCTATCCATTACTCTACCATGCCCTCAGCTATCCATTACTCCACCATGCCTCAGCTATCCATTACTCCACCATGACTCAGCCATCCATTACTCCACCATGCCGCAGCTATCCATCCATATCCACACTCCATGCCTCAGCTATCCATACCCACCATGCCTCAGCTATCCATTACTCCACCATGCCTCAGCTATCCATTACTCCACCATGACTCAGCTATCCATTACTCCACCATGCCTCAGCTATCCATTACTCCACCATGCCTCAGCTATCCATTACTCCACCATGCCTCAGCTATCCATTACTCCACCATGACTCAGCTATCCATTACTCCACCATGCCGCAGCTATCCATTACTCTACCATACCTCAGCTATCCATTACACCATGCCCTCATCCATTACTCCACCATGACTCAGCTATCCATTACTCCACCATGCCGCAGCTATCCATTACTCTACCATACCTCAGCTATCCATTACTCCACCATGCCTCAGCTATCCATTACTCCACCATGACTCAGCTATCCATTACTCTACCATACCTCAGCTATCCATTACCCACCATGCCTCAGCCATCCATTACTCCACCATGCCCTCAGCTATCCATTACTCCACCATGACTCAGCCATCCATTACTCCACCATGACCTCAGCTATCCATTACTCTACCATACCTCAGCTATCCATTACTCCACCATGCCTCAGCTATCCATTACTCCACCATGACTCAGCTATCCATTACTCCACCATGACTCAGCTATCCATTACTCTACCATACCTCAGCTATCCATTACTCCACCATGCCTCAGCTATCCATTACTCCACCATGACTCAGCTATCCATTACTCCACCATGCCGCAGCTATCCATTACTCCACCATGACTCAGCCATCCATTACTCCACCATGCCTCAGCTATCCATTACTCCACCATGCCTCAGCTATCCATTACTCCACCATGCCCTCAGCTATCCATTACCCACCATACCTCAGCTATCCATTACTCCACCATGCCTCAGCTATCCATTACTCCACCATGACTCAGCTATCCATTACTCCACCATGCCGCAGCTATCCATTACTCTACCATACCATGATCCATTACTCCACCATGCCTCAGCCATCCATTACTCCACCATGACTCAGCTATCCATTACTCCACCATGCCTCAGCTATCCATTACTCCACCATGACTCAGCCATCCATTACTCCACACCATGCCCCATCCCCAGCTATCCACACTCCACCATGCCTCAGCCATCCATTACTCCACCATGACCTCAGCTTATCCATTACTCCACCATGCCTCAGCTATCCATTACTCCACCATGCCTCAGCCATCCATTACTCCACCATGCCTCAGCTATCCATTACCCACCATGACTAGCTATCCATTACCCACCATGCCGCAGCCATCCATTACCTCTACCATACCCCCAGCTATCCATTACTCCACCATGCCTCAGCTTATCCATTACTCCACCATGCCTCAAGCCATCCATTACTCCACCATGACCTCAGCTATCCATTACTCCACCATGACCTCAGCTATCCATTACTCCACCATGGCTTCAGCTATCCATTACTCCACCATGCCTCAGCTATCCATTACTCTACCATGCCTCAGCTATCCATTACTCCACCATGACCTCATCCTATCCACCATTAATCCACCATGCCCCACCATGCAGCTATCCATTACTCCACCATGACCTCAGCTATCCATTACTCCACCATGACTCAGCTATCCATTACTCCACCATGCCTCAGCTATCCATTACTCCACCATGGCTCAGCCATCCATTACTCCACCATGCCCTCAGCTATCCATTACCCACCATGACTCAGCCATCCATTACTCCACCATGACTCAGCTATCCATTACTCCACCATGGCTCAGCCATCCCATCCATTACTCCACCATACCATACCTCAGCTATCCATTACTCCACCATGCCTCAGCTATCCATTACTCCACCATGCCTCAGCTATCCATTACTCCACCATGACTCAGCTTATCCATTACCATCCTCACCATCCACTTCCACCATACCTCAGCCATCCATTACTCCACCATGCCCAGCTATCCATTACTCCACCATGCCTTCAGCTATCCATTACCCACCATGCCCCCATCAGCTATCCATTACTCCACCATGCCTCAGCTATCCATTACTCCACCATGGCTCAGCTATCCATTACTCCACCATGCCGCAGCTATCCATTACTCTACCATACCTCAGCTATCCATTACTCTACCATACCTCAGCTATCCATTACTCCACCATGACTCAGCTATCCATTACTCCACCATGACTCAGCTATCCATTACTCCACCATGACTCACCTATCCATTACCCACCATGACTTATCCATCCATTACTCCACCATGCCTCAGCTATCCATTACTCCATCCATGCCCTCCACCATACCAGCTATCCATTACTCCACCATGCCTCAGCTATCCATTACTCCACCATGCCTCAGCTATCCATTACTCCACCATACCTCAGCTATCCATTACTCCACCATGCCTCAGCTATCCATTACTCCACCATGCCTCAGCTATCCATTACTCCACCATACCTCAGCTATCCATTACTCCACCATACCTCAGCTATCCATTACTCCACCATGCCTCAGCTATCCATTACTCCACCATGCCTCAGCTATCCATTACTCCACCATGCCCTCAGCTATCCATTAATAGCCCACCATGCCTCAGCCATCCATTACTCCACCATGCCTCAGCTATCCATTACTCCACCATGACTCAGCTATCCATTACTCCACCATGGCCCAGCCATCCATCCACCATGCCTAGCTATCCACCACCATGCCTCAGCTATCCATTACTCCACCATGACTCACCCATCCATTACTCCACCATGACTCATCCCATTAATCCACCATGCCTCAGCCCATTACTCCACCATGCCTCAGGTATCCATTACTCCACCATGCCTCAGCTATCCATTACTCCACCATGCCTCATATCCATTACTCCACCATGCCCTCAGGTATCCATTAATCCACCATGGCTCCATCCATTACTCCACATGCCTCAGCTATCCATTACCCACCATGCCTCAGGTATCCATTACTCCACCATGCCTTAGGTATCCATTACCCACCATGCCACCATGATCCATTACCCACCATGCCTTCAGGGTATCCATTAATCCACCATTCCTCAGCCATCCAGGTATTCAATCCACCATGCCTTAGGTATCCATTACCACCATGCACCATGCCCACAGCTATCCATTACTCCACCATGACTCAGCTATCCATTACTCCACCATACCTCAGCCATCCATTATCCATTACTACTATGCCTCAGCTATCCATTAATCCACCATGGCTCAGCTATCCATGACTCCACCATGACTCAGCTATCCATTACTCCACCATACCTCAGCTATCCATTAATCCACCATTCCTCAGCTATCCATTACTCCACCATGACTCAGCTATCCATTACCCACCATGACTCACCCATCCATTACTCCACCATGACTCAGCTATCCATTACTCCACCATGGCTCAGCTATCCATTACTCCACTATGAGTCAGCTATCCATTACTCCACCATGCCTCAGCTATCCATTACTCCACCATGACTCAGCTATCCATTAATCCACCATGCCTCAGCTATCCATTAATCCACCATGCCTCAGGTATCCATTACTCCACCATACCTCAGCTATCCATTAATCCACTATGCCTCAGCTGTCCATTACTCCTCCATGCCTCAGGTATTCATTACTCCACCATGCCTCAGCTATCCATTACTCCACCATACCTCAGCTATCCATTACTCCTCCATGCCTCAGGTATTCATTACTCTGCCATGCCTTAGGTATCCATTAATCCACTATGCCTCAGCTATCTATTACTGCACCATGCCTCAGCTATTTATTACTCCACCATGACTCAGCTATCCATTACTCCACCATACCTCAGCTATCCATTACTCCACTATGCCTCAGGTATTCATTACTCCACCATGCCTCAGCTATCCATTACTCCACCATGCCTTAGCTATTCATTACTCCACCATGCCTCACCTATCCATTATTCCACCATGCCTCAGCTATCCATTACTCCACCATGCCTCAGGTATTCATTACTCCATTGCACATCCATAAATTTCCAATTTGTAATTATTCAGATGTTCATTATCGCTTTATTTATTGTTATCATTAGTGAATTGTTTTAGTGTCATGTATGGTAATATTTTTACTTTAGATCAAATAAGAGAAGTTAAGCAATGTTTTGCTTAGTCAGTCAAGAATACTAAAGTATAAAAAAAAATTATTTTAAGAAATACTTTTACTGAACCTCCTTATCAGAATCTTATAAAGTTTTCCATGAATATCTTGTTTTCCAATAACATCTTAAAAGATTTTTTTGGAGATGCGTTAATTTCCAAATATTAATAGAATCCTGTTTGTAGGAAATTAAATAAAACAAATATTATAATCTAATAATATCAATGATGAAATGATTTTGGAAATTACTCGCTTCTTGAAAGGAACTTAATTTTGATGATTAAAGATTTTTAAAAAAATGTGAATAGGCAAACATATTAAAAGAAATATATATGAAAATCTGTTTTTTTACAAGGATCCTCATTCTATCTTCTTTCTTGTTATGTGCCATGTCCTTTCAAGACCTAGAAAAATCATGGCTCTCCACATCCTCTATATCTTGCAGCTCTAAACAAATTCCTTCCTTCTGCTCCCACCCCCAGACTACATTCTGTCATCCATTTGCTTAAGTCTTCCAGTTATGTCACATGTTGTTTTCCTTTGTCTCTCTTACCTTTTATTTGAACTGTGAGTATCAAATTCTCCAGGCCCTCCTTCCTCTTTATGCATTCTAGAAACTTCAGCTGTTTCTTCCTGATATTAAGTATTAAACTCCTCCATGTTTGCAACCTCTCTAAGATCACATCATTGCTCACATGGTCAGTACTGAACCTAATGTAATCTTAATAATTAAATATTTTGTACAACAATTTTAACAGTTGCATAGATACTATGCTCTGATTGTAATTAGCAGATACAGGAAGAGACACATGGTATTTTACCCATAATGCCATGGTGAAAAGATATGGCTCAAGGCCTGTTTAAAGTGAGGAGCTCAAGCACCAAAAATTATTGCCCAGCCCCCACAACCAACTAACTACAGATAGATATTAAATCCATTGCTAGGTCAGCTGCTAAGAAAGTTGGTTCACTGTGTCATGTAAGACAATTTTTCTCTCCAGAATCTATCTTACATATCTATGAGTCTACCATTCATCCATGCTTAGAATATTGCTGCCACATATGGTTGGGGACCCCTGCTATTTACTTTGAGCTCCTTGGTAAGATCCAAAGAAGAATCAGCAATATTCTTGGTCTTGATCGAGTGACTCCTCTTCAGTCATTTTCTTACCACTGTTCAGATGAGGTCTTTGCTATGGAACCTAGACTTTTGGATTTAAGTGCAGTAACAGACTGGTGGCAAGATTGCATCAATTTCCTGTCGAGCTGGCTAGATGTGACCATAAATTCAATGCTAACAGTTTCTTTTCTTGCACTTGTCACTTATGGAACTCCCTTCTGGCTCCATGCATTCCAGTCAACTTTAATCTGCACAAATTTAAATGCAATATCAACTGCTACCTACTTTTCTCCTGATTACTCTTTTCTCTTCCTGCTCATTATTAATATTTCTGTTCCTAATTCTTCCAGACCTTGTAGCCTCTTGTGTCTTAGTGGCTTTACTACCTTACATGGGGTGATAATAATTTTAAAAAAAAGTTTATGTCGGAATATAAAAATATTTTAGATTTCTGTTTATTTCAAATTGATTCAAACAGAATAAAATCATCTTGTTTTCATAACTGGTGAATATTTTTTTGATTTAATATTTAATTTGAAATAAATTTGCTGATTTATTTCATCACCAAACAGCATCTTGTTTCCCTCTGAGTTTCTGAATTTCATCCCCCATCCTTGATGAAGGGATAAATAATCCTTGAAAAAAGATATGGGCATGACCCCCCCCCCCCCGGGGGACATGTCCCATTTACCCAGAATTCAAGGCAACAGAACTCCTCCTTGGACCAGAAAACATCATACTGGTCTGAGAACTGTAGGTACTGAGACAAGCTTGCTCATATATGAAAACTAAAAGGCCCATAGCAAGAAGTGGGGTTACATAGGTTTGTTGAGGTTGCATCAGCATCACCTACCCCCCCCCCAATCTGGTTTAATTTAATATTTTAACGGAGGAGAAAGGTTAATTGAACTGGAGCTACATTTAGGAATTGATGGGAACTTTGATTCCATCTGGTACCTGTGTAAGGTGAGGTTACTACAGGAAATTAGAGCATGGTATCAACTATTAAAATTTAACTTAGTTGAACTATCCCCTATCAGAATGAAAGAGTGGGAAAATAAGACTGGCCTTATTCCATATGAAAAGAAAAAAAATAAGATTACTTGTATGAAAGATCACACAGCTTACATTCAACGGTTCACATATTTTCTGCTTGATAATTTCAGCCAAAATTTCAAGTGATGGTACTTATCACATCCCTCTACCAAAATATGGAGACGAGAAATGCCATTAGCTTGGCAAGAAAAAATATTGATTCGAGAACTTTTTTTTTTTACATTTTACAAAAATGAAAAGCTCACTTTTCACTTAAAGACAACACATTAACATATGACCATTTAGCAAAAATCTATTGAATGACATTTATCATGTGAATGTAGGAATTAACCTCAAATGATAATTCAGATTATTAAGGGATACGATTCCTTAACATAGATTATAGGTGAAATTGAACAATGAAAGTGGATCTTCTGGAAAGGAAAGAAGAAAAACAAGAATAAATATATATACAAGAATATATATGTATGCAAATATATTGAAAAATAGGAAAGAACCGTTAGGTTAATAATCCAAAGTTCTTTAGTATTTTTGTTTTTATTTAAAAAAAACAGTGCTCAATACACAAGTAGAGCTTATATTATAATTATTTTTTTAAAATATGATACTAGAAACTTTAATTTAATTTCTATTTAATTTCTATAATAACTAGGTACTTTAATTTAAATTAATTTCTATAATTGAATTGGAAGTTTTTAGCTTCTGTTTTTGAAACATAGTATATGTAGCAATAGAATCATATTTTAAAAAAAATAACTACAATACAAGAATATATATATCTATATGTAGATATCTATCTATATATATATATATATATATATATATATATATATATATATATATATATATATATAAGGAAAAAAACACATGCCTGACGATGAATAAAGGACTATTCGTATACTAGCATTTTAACATCAAATAAACTGAAAACTACAGACAACAAGTTTATCGACGAGGATCAAACTCGCACTATGGATGAACAGTATTTTAATGCATATATTATGTTTTCTAGCGATGGATGTTGCTAATAATCGCATTAATACTTGGATTGATTCTATGTGATTATTTCTTTATATATATATATATATATATTTTTAACATAGATATCAACATTAGAGGCGACAGTCTGTTTCATATTATATGCAATCGTCAAATATTTATTTTTCTCGGCTATTTATATATATGGGTTAAATTATATTGTGAGTATTCTATTATAATTTTTTTACCCAAATAAATAAACATTTATTTCCGCAAAAATAACCGAGCATAATAGAATAAATTACAATGCACAATATAACCCGTATATATATATAAATAACCTCGGAAAAATAACAGCAAATGTGGCCTGATTTATTGCATATAGCATGAAACAGACTGTCGTTTCTAAGTGTTGACTTCTATGTTCACTTTTATACTTACACACGCTCTATCTCTGATATTGAGCACTTTATCCCATAAATATAGCACACCTTAAGACTATATTTCTTTATATATATATATATATATATATATATATATATATATATATATATATATATATATATATAAATTGTAGCAAAGAACACAAAGCTTATATTCAGGACAGGCAAATTTTTGCATAATAATTTTGGTCAAAAGTAACAAACAAGCGTTTAAGTGGGGGATCACTTTTCCTTTACTTCATGCCAGA